GAAATCTTTCAGCAATCTTTCCCGTCAGATATAATATTTTGTTTGTTCTTTACCTACTTGTGCAATCTGGTAAGAAGATGAAGAATAAAAAAAAGATCAATTTGAAATATGATACGCGGCGCCGAGCTTGTTTTTACAATAGTGTTTTGCAACTACACCGGTGTACTTTCGCAAAAACTCCTATCACTTGATAATAAGACATTGTAAACACGAGTTAGAAAATACGGATTGTAAAACTGATTTTTACAACTTCTCAAAGTTATGTTATTCTTACCCCAATAATCCACACCATAAGTTTCCGTATCATATTAGTTCAACCAATTGTCCGTGTTTGTTATTTCATATCCGCATCCTACGCGTATTCTCGCTAATATAATTTTAATATTTTTCAAAGAAAAAAGAAATCGATACACGAATTCAATACACAATTGAAAGAAGAAATATATATATATAACAAAATTAATGCGTAAAATTGTGATATTCTTATCGATAAGGTCATCCCATAAATTTTCTATACATTCTGTTTATATAACAGCTGTTTATTTCGTTATATTGTATGCCCTTTTCGCGCGAGACCACTGGCTAACAGATAATATATAAATGATATTTATTTATTAATCGACATGAGTCAAAAAAGAAAAACAAAAAATAAGAGCAAATGAATAAAACAATAGTTTAAAGAGAGAAAAAGAAAGAGAGAGAGAGATAATAATCTATAAAGCATTTCATCGAGTACCCGCCTCCTTGTCTCAACCTGAGAGCACGTTCTCTTATTACAAGTCCAACATATGGGCACCTAAACGATCACACCCGATCTTTCCATTTCTTTCTTTTTCTCGAGCCTCTCGATCCCCTTTTTTTCATATTTTTTGTTCTTCTTCTTCTTCTTCTTCGTCTTCGTCTTCTTCGTCTTCTGCTTCTTTTCTCCACACGTACTTCGACTCAAGGAAGAGAGCGAGAAAGAGAGAGAGAGAATGGGTGGGCTGGTGAAGCAAAAGGAGATGAAGAGCAACCTTCTGAGAGGACCGCCGATGTCAGAGGGCGCACGAAGGAATGCTGACTCGACTCCGACCTGTGCGTCGTCCCTTCTCTTTTCTTCAAAGTTCCCCTCTTTCTTTATTTCTCCTTCCCTTCCTCACTCTTTCTCTCTCTCTCTTTCTTTCTTTAAACTCGTAACACTCGTGAAATACACCTGGACACATCACCGCGAACACCCCTTTTCTTTTCTTTTCTTTTCTATTCTTTTTTTTTCTTTAGTCCCCTAGAAAATTAGATAACACGGGTCAACCACGAGTTTAAAACCTAATTATGTCAATTGATTATCTATCAAGCTTATTTAAAATGAATCTTTCTTTTTGTTATTATTCTTCTTCTTTTTCTTCTTCTTCTTTTTCTTCTTCTTCTGATTTTCACAATAAGAAAAAAAGCGAACCACAACTATCGTCAAACAACGTAAATATGCATGACATAAACGTTATTGTTATTCTATTGAAAACCTCTATATGTTGAAATTTTCGAAAGAAACAGAAAAGGTTTCTTGGTAAAATATTAAAAAGAAGTGAACATTGTTGGTCTTCTCCTACGCTAAAATGCGATTCGATCACAGAGCACGTAATATTGTATAGAAACAGAAAAAAGAGAAAGAGAGAAAGGGAGAGACAACAGTGACTCAAGAGCAACCAAACTCGAATGCTAGAAGTTTTCCTCTTTGGTTGTTTTCGAAGAGGTCGGTGAATCTTTCGAGATATATTTTCCCTTTGGCGGCCTCTTTGGCGGCTACAACCGTGTCTCTTCGTATGACAAGAAGGAAGAATGGAAGAATGGTCATGGAGACAAGTTGCATCTACAATAACGCTGGTAGACCAACGGTTTAAATTCCTGTCACCTCGTTCACCGACGAAAGAGAAAGAAAAAAAAACGAAATTGTGCATTAAAGTAGGAAGCTTGTGGTTGAGGGGGGAAAGTAGAGAAAGAGGAGCAGGAGCAGGAGCAGGAGGATGAGGAAGAGGAGGCGGAAGAGAAGTAAGAAAAGAAAGATAAAGAGAAAGATTCAAGCTGAAAAAAAATGTACGACGATATTTCACAACACGCCTAAGGAATATAATACCATCGATCGTTCACGTGAATGAACACCCGTTGAGAAAGTTGGTGGCCCATTGAAAGGGCAAACTGTTGTAACTACGAGAAGTCGACAGAAGTCAATATTGAAAAATGAACCATTAAAATGATATCGAATATTGTTTCTGTTAACTTTTTTTAAAATCCTCATTGTGTTTACCTCTTTTTACACGATTCATGATAATTAATTAATGAGATTTTAACGAAAAACCAATCGTAAATTAGGTTTTAAAGTGTAATAAATTTGAAGCTACTAAAAGATTATAAAAAAATAAAAATGATCAATGCATTGAAAAACGATCTTTGACTACTACGCAATAAAAAAGAAAAGAAAAAGGACATAAGAATGAAGAGGATCACGTTTTAGTCTTCAAAAGGCTACCGCTTCTTTTTGACTTTTACCCCAACGAGAAAAACCGCAAGAGGAGAGAAAAGAATGGCAATTCGTATTGTATTGAATGCGGCGGCGACGTTTTATCAGGCAGGTCGTACTGTGCTAAAGGCCAAACAACATCTTTTAAGCCTAATTTATAATAGCTACGCGAAGGTAAATCAATAATTATTATCCAACGCTACTACACGGCACTTTTGTCCAATTTTCTTTGTAGTTAGCTTTATTGCAAAATTCTCGTCAAATGTGTATTTGTCGGTTTTCCTTTTTTCTTTTTATTGGAAATTAATATTAATTAATAATAACAAAATTATTATTATTATTATTATTACAATTAATAATAATACATATTAGGGTTGTATAAATTTAAACACTCCATTTTCGTTAGATTTTGTTTTATATATGTTACAGTTAATGCACAGAATCCCGGTTATTTTGTAGAATGTCCAGGGGGTTTAGATCAATCTAGAATATATGCATTAGTAGGGTGTGTTTAAAACACTTAAGGGAGTGGGGGGCAAATGTTTCAGTAAACATTTTTTCCCTCCAAATTTTGTCAGGATTTCGTCACATTGATATGAGTATTAATTTACACGCTAATATTATGCCTCATAAAACTTTGAAAATTTCTAACAAAAAATTGTTCACGATAATAATTCATTTAACAATTTTAACTATAAAAAAAAACTTAAATTAAGTATGGTTTAACCACTCGAATGAATATCGAACAAAATGATCTAGCTACTCGTCCTATTTTTTCCCTCGATCTCCATGACGTTTTACAATATTGACCGTTCATTTTATTCGTTGTTAAATCAAGCGTAAATAACAATTCCATTTTAGGGATGATCCGAGATAAAGTATAGAACGTGAATAAGAGGGAATATAAGAAAGAACTGTGGGATGCACATCTAAATGTATACCGACAATATATCCAATTTTGATCCTAACATAAGTACTTTTTCTATACAATGTGTGCTAGTTGATGCTCGATTGAACGATAATAAAAAAATACATTCGAACAATGAAGGTTCACTTTATGTAGCAAACATTGCGTCGGTGGTCAGGATAATGTTCAATTTCTTCATACTTTTCTCATACATATAGTTTCTCTTCTATCCATGTTTATATAAAAAAAAAAAATTGATAAAAGAAAACAGACGCACGAGCTACTCGTCGTTTGCGCACAAATAAACATCAATATAGTGGCCAGTGCGAACTAGCAAACTCAAAACCGTTGTTAAAAAGGTTCCCGATGGGCTTAGAAAGGATTCAACGTTAGTTACGGTAAAAGGCTAAGTCCCAAACTGAAAGATCAGACCCTCTTTATCCTCTTGTTTAGATCTGCACGCGTAAGAATCAATAGTCTGTAAACAAACTTATTCGAAATACCCTAAGGTATTCTAAATAAGGTACACAATCAAAAAAGATCGGCCTTTATTCTTTAAAGAAAAATAGAAACGAATTTCTCTGTAAAATTGATCTCAAGTTAACATGTTTTTCTTGGTCAATAGTTAATATCTTAGACAGGTATACTGCATTATTGTGATTTTATGAGAAAACTTAGGTATAAGCTTATCTACCGATAGTTTTGAAACACTCGACAAAATGGCGTCTTTACTCTTACGTCGAACAAAATGGCATGTTTGACGGTCATTTTACGAGTACTTTATGGATACCTTAATGACTGCGGCACACAAATACACATATGGATATTATCTGAGTATATATAAGTATATATATATGAATATATACTATATGTGTATATGTACATATAGGTATAAAATAGAATTCATTTCACGTAAGAACACGTGAGCGTATTAGAAGTACTCTTTTGCACCGACTAGTAAAGTAATAAAATAAATTTTTCGTATAATGCGGCATGAAGAAATCCAAAGGAGAAATCAAAGGAGAATAGACGTCCACGAATATGGAAAACTCCTTTAAGTATTAATTAGTAATTACGTTTATTTTAATGGTCTATACACTATTATAGAGTATTTCACATTAATTATACGCGTTTTAAACTTCTTCTTCCATAAACGTGATTTCTCAGATACTATATATCACCGGAGACAATTACATCATAAATGATCCGATGACTTCGTTATACGATTATGATCTTCGCTTATAGAATATCTGCATGTATATTGAAAATGTGGACACAGAATAATACTCATCAATATCGTATTCATAGTAAAAGAGGCAAGTTCATCGGAGCAACGATAAACTCGTGTCTCATGACTTAGCAGTTTTCGTCGAGGATTTATTGATTACCAATTATAGCTCATTTAATCGTAAAAGCTTGTCGTCATTTATTTCGATCGTGTGTAGGTCCTTTTTCCGCGTGTCCCGATCCTGTTTTTCAAAAACATATAGTTACACTTTATGAATAGGAAGATGTGTCTGAGAAAGAATCACTATAACAGTCATGGAAAATGACATGGTAACGAACACGACGACATCTACTATCTCTTCTCTTTATGATTAGGCCGTTGCGGTGATGATTCTGATACTGAAAGTGAGCCAGGTATACCTCTTAAACGAAAACAACGTAGGAGCAGAACGACATTCACTGGGGAACAACTGGAACAACTCGAGGCTGCCTTTCAACGTGCTCAATATCCAGATGTTTATGCTAGAGAAGAATTGGCTCAGAGAACGGGTCTAACTGAGGCAAGGATACAAGTGAGTTGTTTAATCTTTTGTCAAGATCCTTTTTTTTTTTAAAAATATCTCGAAGCAGGAGAAAATTCAAATAAACGATTGGAAATAAGAGAAATTAAAGATCATTTATAGTTTTATAAATGATATAGTTCATAAATTATATAGTCATTAAAGATTATTTATAGCTATCGTCATACACCCACAATCTTCTAGGTATGGTTCAGTAATCGGAGAGCTCGTCTACGTAAACACTCAGGAAGTTTAGCACATTCTGTACCGAGTTTACCTTTGACACCCTGTCAATACGCTGCAGGGAGTCATGAATTAGCTCAGATGGCTCAAATACCTCAAATGCCAAGCGAAATACCTCAAGTACCAACTAGTTTGCATCACAGCCCGACGGCTTTACATCAAACACCAAGCAGTGTTCATCAAGTTGCCGGAAGCGTTACCCAGATGACACCGCCTATGCCACCAATACCTTCAACGATGAGCAACAGTTTGCAAGAACATGCTGCATCAATTTCGGGACACTTGACTTCCCTCTCTGAACATATCAGTAGCATGCAAATCGGGCAAGTTCCGTCCATTCAACCTCCAGTTGCTCATGGTGCTCCAACATCTTTGACTCCTAATACTGGTACCTTGACAGATATTTCATCAAATCCAAGTTCCTAAAAAAAAGAAACACAATATTTCATTATTAATATTTTTATTTTATTTTTTTTTTTTTTTTTTAAGGGAATACCGATTGGTCCAGGTCACAGTTAACTTGGGGCCAGTTCAATCATTTTCAAGGTAGCGAATATTCGTCGAGTCACATGACAAGCCATCAACATGCCGTCCACGCAGCTCATGGTACCCACTCTTCGAATACCGCGAATACCGCTGGCACAACGGCCGATTGGTACGACCAGAGTTACGATTATACTCAACACGCCCAACTCAACTATCATCGCAGCGTGGGTGGAATATACTAGCCGAGGATGCTTCTCGATCCGATGGATAATCCGAACACGTCGATCGAAATTTACTTTGTACATAATACATTTACGCTTTATCATCAAAACCAATTGATAATTTGATCACCTTTTACCTTGTTAAATCTTATCTAAAAAATTTAAGCTACGTTACGAGATTGTAACGATTAATGAAATTAGATATTCTCAAGTTGTTTATCTATGTCACAAATAATTACGTGATCTCTGCTGTTGTTGTATGCACATGGATTCGAACGATTATCAACATCGTCAAGAAAAGTTATAATTTTTTCTCGTTTACACATACGCCTTTTTTATTCTATCGAAAATAATCTATCCAAACAGTGTCTATTTAACGTAAGGAATGAGTTCAAGAACAAAGGATTGTTCTCGTGATCTCTCGATGATCAATTAATCTTACTATTTCATAATTTTAATTATTTATTTAAACTAGAATAAGAGATAAGGTGAAAATTCTTGGAAAACATATGTCAGAGCAATAAATTAATTGCCTACTTTACGTCAAATAATAAAGATCTTAGAACGTATCGCGTCACATGTTTACATGACACATCGGATGAGCAGTTAAAGAAAAAATTAGAATTCATATAAGAAGCTACGAGAGAACGAAAATTGTCTCATATTACTGCGACACAATGTACGCGCTTAGATTGTCAATCGTGTGGGTAAGTATGAAGATATAATATTTACGTACAAAAATTACATTGCCATTATGAACTCTTAATAAATGCTTTCATTCGAATTTTATTACATTTCGAATGAACTTAGGACGATAAACTAACGATATGTATTGAAAAAAAAAACTTGTTTCAATAATTTCAGATATTCATCCTCGGAAGCATCGTACAATGTTCGGCTTCGAGCATTTACGATTTCGGAAGAGCAAACGTAATCGTCGAAGGTGATTCCAAGCCTTGCTCTGCAACAAGAGAGTGTTTGAATTGCACGAGATCGAGACTATGTCTACCAGCAAAAAACCAATTGCAACAGGTAGCTGTGATAGATTGCAGTTCTGATCCTTCGACACCTTATTGCGATCAGGATACTGGTCTTTGTACAAGCGTAGCTTCAAACGGTTGTGCTTCGAACGAATTCATCTGCCCTTTCATCGATGGTGTTTACCCAGATCCCAGAAGTTGCACTAGATATCACATTTGTGTTAACGGTTTTAGAACAACGAATATTTGTCCGCCTAACAATGTCTACGATGCATCCTTGAAAGATTGCAAATTATTACGTTATTCGATTGACTGTGTTACAATCAGTTGCACGGGTAAGGAGGGTAAACTTTTCACATATCCAAAAGATAATAGAATCTATGGAAGTTGCGTTGGTGGAAAACCATATATCTTGGGACAGTGCAAAGATTACGAGACATTTGATGTTAGTTCGGGAAAATGTAACAGAGTTTGTAGAAGACCTGAAAATCAGCCTACAGATGATTGTCAAAAGTATATACGTTGTGCCGAAACGAGCAGAGGAAGATATGAGCCAGTTCTACAAAACTGTGCTTGCAACCAAGGTTTCGATGAAGATACAAAAACCTGCTCAACGAACGCAAAGTGTATTGCTAACAAGCCGAATCTCTGCCAACTACCATCTGAATCTAAAGATTCAGTAAAAGATGAAAACAATAAAGAAAATGACTCAATCGTAAACAATTCGGAAAATAAGGACAGCAGTAACAATGTATCTAATGGTCAAGACAGTTCTAATGGAAACGTTATAAATGGTAATAATAACGAAAATAATTCCAATTCTGGAGACGTTGCCGACGCAGAAATTCCAAAACAACAAGTGAATCCGTTAATTATAATAAATTCAGGAAATAGTCAAAATGGAAATAGTGTTTCCAACGGAGACAATAGTGAAAATGGAAATATAATTGATGGAAGTAACAATGATAATAGTGCAAGTCAAGGAAACGGGAGGAGACCTGTGTTTCGTCCATACATAATTAATAATTCAGAAAACAAAGACAGCAATAATAATGTTTCAAATGGAAACGATAATGGTAATGGTAATATAGTTAATGGAAACGATAACGGCAATAATTCAAATCAAGGTAATGTAGGAAATCAGAAAGCTGCTAGGTCTAGCATAAGTCCACGTATAATCAATAATTCAGAAAATAGTAACAGTAGCAATGATGTTTCYAATGGAAATGATAGTGGAAACGGTAATATAGTTAACGGAAATGATAATAGTGAAAATGATAATAAAGGAAACGTAGGAAATGCAAAAGCACAAAGATCCTATGTAAGTCCACGTATCATCAATAATTCAGAAAACGAAGCCAGCGATAATAATGTCTCAAATGGAAACGATAATAGTAATGGTAATATAGTTAATGGAAACGATAATGGCAATAATTCAAATCAAGGTAACGTAGGGAATAGAGACTCGTCGACACCTAGTGCACAGCCATTTATTATCATAAATTCAGGACATAGTCAGAATGGAAATAATGTTTCTAACGGAGACAATAGTGAAAATGGAAATATAATTAATGGAAATAACAATGATAATAGTGCAAGTCAAGGAAACGGGAGGAGACCTGTGTTTCGACCATACATAATTAATAATTCAGAAAACAAAGATAGCAATAATAATGTCTCAAATGGAAACGATAATAGTAATGGTAATATAGTTAATGGAAACGATAACGGCAATAATTCAAATCACGGAAACGTAGGAAATCAAAAAGCTGCTAGGTCAAGCGTAAGTCTACGTATTATCAATAATTCAGAAAATAGCAACAGTAGCAATGATGTTTCCAATGGTAACGATAGTGGAAACGGTAATATAGTTAACGGAAACGACAATAGTGAAAATGACAATAAAGGAAACGTAGGAAATGCAAAAGCACAAAGATCCGATGTAAGTCAACGTATTATCAATAATTCAGAAAACAGTGAAAGCGATAATAATGTATCGAATGGAAATGATAATGGAAATGGTAACATAGTTAATGGAAATAGCAATGGTAATAATTCGAATCAAGGTAACGTTGGAAACGGACGAGCAAGAAGATCAGTTATAAGTCCACGTATTATAAATAATTCAGAAAATAGCAACAGTAGCAATGATGTTTCCAATGGTAACGATGATGGTAATGGTAATATAGTTAATGGAAACGATAACGACAACAATTCAAATCAAGGAAACGTAGGAAATCAAAAATCTGCTAGGTCAAGCATAAGTCCACGTATAATCAATAATTCAGAAAATAATAACAGTAGCAATGATGTTTCTAATGGAAACGATAGTGGAAACGGTAATATAGTTAACGGAAACGACAATAGTGAAAATGACAATAAAGGCAACGTAGGAAATGCAAATGCACAAAGATCCGATTTAAGTCCACGTATTATCAATAATTCAGAAAACAAAGACAGCGATAATAATATCTCAAATGGAAACGATAATAACAACGGAAATATAGTTAATGGCAATAGCAATGGAAATAATTCGAATCAAGGTAATGTAGGAAATCAGAAAGCTGCTAAGTCAAGCGTGAGTCCACGTATTATCAATAATTCAGAAAATAAAGACAGCGATAATAACGTCTCAAATGGAAACGATAATAGTAATGGTAATATAGTTAATGGAAACGATAACGGCAATAATTCAAATCAAGGTAATGTAGGAAATCAAAAAGCTGCTAGGTCTAGCATAAGTCCACGTATAATCAATAATTCAGAAAATAGTAACAGTAGCAATGATGTTTCCAATGGAAACGATAGTGGAAACGGTAATATAGTTAACGGAAACGACAATAGTGAAAATGACAATAAAGGTAACGTTGGAAACGGAAAATCGAAAAGATCAGTAATAAGTCCACTTATTATTAATAATTCAGAAAACAAAGACAGCGATAATAATGTTTCTAATGGAAATGATAATAACAACGGAAATATAGTTAATGGCAATAGCAATGGTAATAATTCGAATCAAGGTAACGTAGGGAATAGAGACTCGTCGAAACCTAGTGCACAACCATTTATTATTATAAATTCAGGAATTAGTCAAAATGGGAATAATGTGTCTAACGGAGACAATAGTGAAAACGGAAATATTATTAATGGAAGTGAGAATAGTAATACTGCGCATCAAGGAAACGCTAGACCTGTTGTTGATTTATACATTATCAATAATTCAGAAAACAAAGACAGCGATAATAATGTCTCAAATGGAAATGATAATAACAACGGGAACATAGTTAACGGAAATAGCAATGGTAATAATTCAAATCAAGGTAACGTAGGGAATATGAAAAGGTCGAAACCTAGCATTAAACAATTAATTATTATAAATTCAGGAAATAGTCAAGATTCGAATACTGTTTCTAACGGTGACAATAGCGAAAATGGAAATATTATTAATGGAAGTAACAATTCTAATAATGCAAGTCAAGGAAACGGAAAAAGTCCAGTTTTGCGTTTATTCATTATTAATAATTCGGGAAATAGTCATAGTCAAAGTAATGTCTCTAATGGAAACGACAGTGACAACGGTAACATAGTTAACGGAAATAGCAATGGCAATAATTCAAATCAAGGTAATGTTGGTAATGTTGAAGCGTCTAAACCAACTCAACCTCCAATAATTAACAGTTCAGAAAACAATGAAAGCGATAATAATGTATCGAATGGAAATGATACAGAAAATGATAATACAGTTACTGAAAATACCAATGATAATAATTCGAGTGAAGATGACGTAGAAATTCAGCAAGATGCAAGTACTAGCGAAAGTCCCTTGATTATAAATAATTCAGAAAATAATAACAGTAGCAATGATGTTTCTAATGGAAACGATAGTGGAAACGGTAATATAGTTAACGGAAACGACAATAGTGAAAATGACAATAAAGGAAACGTAAGTAATGCCAAAGCACAGAGATCCAAAGTAAATCCACGCATAATCAATAATTCAGAAAACAAAGACAGCGATAATAATGTCTCAAATGGAAATGATAATAACAACGGGAACATAGTTAATGGCAATAGCAATGATAATAATTCGAATCAAGGTAACGTAGGAAATCAGAAAGCTAGATCTAGCATAAATCCACGTATTATAAATAATTCAGAAAATAGTAACAGTAACAATGATGTTTCCAATGGAAACGATAATGGAAACGGAAATATAGTTAATGGAAATGATAATGGCAATAATTCAAATCAAGGTAACGTAGGAAATGTTAAATCATAAAAATCTGGAAACATTCCTTTTATTAATAATTCTGTAAATATTGGCAGTGTAATAATATCGTCTCTAACAGCAATGATAATGAACTTAATTTAGTTGGTGTAAATGGTAATGGTAATAATGGTAACTCTTGTAATGTACTAAAATAAGGATATTGTAAACAAAAGTTTTGTTAATTAATGAGAATTATTGCCTCTAAAGATCTATTATCAAGAGCTTTTTTATATATTATCTTCTTAATAAGATTATCGTAGTAATACATTTATCTGTGTTGTACTTAAAAATGTATATAATGGTAAATATTTAAAAAAAAATTGTTTTATATCTTTATGGCAGGTATCTGAAAATGCAAATAAAAACTTATGCTTATCGATCTAATAATTAGATATTTATTTCAAGATACTATTACCGCTTTATTGTCACATTGTTTATCAATTACAATATAATTAAACACATAATATATTATTGTAATAATAAAGGATCGTAAAGGTGTTTATATGTCATCCACAGCAATTATTCGAAGACGTTCTCGGAATGGAAAGTCTCGCTGAAAATTTCTCTCAAGATTCATTTTATCAACGTCACATAACTATTAATATTCGAAAAATCCAATATTCTCTCTTGATATTTATTGAATTATTACGTACAACATCACATACATTTATACACGACGATAGTCACTAATAATAGTCGAATTATGTGTAATACATTATACGAAGGAAGAACTTAATTCTCGTTATCAGTGCATATCGTAATCACTAATTCGGGATATTTTTTTTTTTTTTTTTATAATACTGTGAAAGATTACTACGTGCAAGGAAATTGCGTTTAGACTTCGTAATCCGTTCTATCGTAGGAGGACGATATGATCGATTTTTAAAAAAGTTTATAAATAAAAATATTTAATAGATTATTTTACCTTATATTAACGAAAACGATTGAAGCTAGTTCTTTTCCTTTTTTTTTATCTGTTAAACGCAGCAAATTAATTAATTTGAAGATAGAAAGGTATATAAGCATAGGTAATAATAATAATCATCGAACGATATATTTATTGTCTTATGAACGACGAACGATTGTAATCATTTTTTTTTTTTTTTTTTAGATATTTTTATCGTTTGAATAATTTAATCTTAATCGTATAAGTAGTATAAGTATCCAGAAGAAAATTATTGTCAATGTTATTATTGTCAATGAACGCGTAGGTATCTCTCACGACGAAAATTACATTCGTTTCATTTAATTTATTAGATGATTAGACAACAACAAAGACAACTACAACGACAACGACGATGACGACGAGAAATTCGTTTCTTTTCGATCTAAGAAAAATTCGATTCTTCAAAAAATAAATCGTCTATTGCAAATAAATATGTAGAAGTTGAATTGAAAAGCTTTCAGAATTTCGATGGAACTTTAAGGAATACTGTATAATATATGGATTAAAAAAAACCAAGCTCTAAATTGTAGGTTTACAAAATATTAACAACGATGGAAGGGGGTAATTGTTCTTTCTTTCTTTCTTTCTCGTCGTTATTTTCGATATTTCGTAAATTTACGTATGATTCCGTCGTGTGACGTTTATACGACGATAATTTAATCATCGATGATAATGATGCCAGTAATTACGAATTTTGCATTTAGCGATGGGTCTGTCGATTCAGTCTTTTACATGTTTTCAATTTTACATTTACATATACATATCTATTGTTTAACAAATTTAAATTAACTTCTCTTTCTCTATCTTGATCTTGAATAATTTATCAATCAAAAATAAAAAGCTGTTAAGAAAGCTATAATTCTTCAAAAAAGGATTAAAAATATTAAAAACGTAAGAAATATGTTCATACCCATCGCTACTTGCACGATTTAAACAATTTACACAGTTGGTGATGAAGAAAATTATCGTTCGTCGGTAATAGAACGGTATCTTCGGAAGCCATGGTGACAATACCTGCACAATGACTGGAGAAAGCGTATTCTGGGAGGGCCAGAACCATAAATGGGCCTTAACGACCAAGTCGTCGGGTTGGAGGAGTAGTTTGACGTGGGCCCATCTGCGGAATTCTCCCTGAAATTGATCGACGTGTTGTTACATCAGAAAGTATTTCTACTTTACCGACACACGCTCGCATACACACACTCACACGTGTTTTATGTCTAATCAGTCACAATTTTTATAAATTAACATAGCTGCTATTTTTTTTGTGTAACTAATTAACACTTAACAACTATCAGTTGGTATGAAACGTAACGATGATGGATAACAATCTTGTCTACTTTTTTTATAGAACAAAATAAGTATCTAAAAAATGATATATTTAAAGTAGATAATCAATAAATTGTTACCGATCATTGTTTTCATTTATAGCGACAAATAAACTATATTAATAAATCTATACTATCGCATTACTGATCAAATTAATGCTCGTGTAATCAGAGTCTAAATATGTATATATATATATATAATATATAAATAGATTTTTAATAAGGAACGTTGATGACTCGATCATAATGGCTTTTTTCTTGGAACAATGGAAAAAACAATGCTTCCTACAACAAAAAGAATACGTAAGCACTTGGGGAGAGTTATTAACGAGAATGGAACAAAAGATCGAAACATCTTGTTTAGTTCTGCAAGAGACATCAGACCGAATAGAAAACTATTCTCTAAAGATATTAAAATGCGTTAATTAATTATTTTCACATTATGACATTTAGATTCCGCGAGCACTTGATCTTCGAGCTACCTTCAACATTCAACATCAATTGCATCAATGGTATCCAAAGAAAACCCTTTTATGAGAAATATATAAGAATAAATGTGCATTGGTATTTTTCAATTAATTTCCACTCGACAATGTATGAAAATGACATTGTTTCCACTGGATAACCATTAAAAAGGAACGCACAGCGTTCATTTAACATAATCCTAAATATTCGTATATTAAAATGTTTATAAAATGATATAAAATTCTACTCACGCTATACTTACGTATAGAAAAAGGAAAAAAAAACAGAATGAAAAATTTATTTCAAATAATATTCAGCGTCAAGTAGTTATTTAAAACAAAAACAAAAACACGGAGAGAAAAGGTTCTACGTGTAACAAAAAAAAGAAAAAGATACAAATGGAATAAATGCAGCAACAACATTGACCCTCTATGAAAAATTAGCCTTCTAACATCGAGTTACGATCTAATTTAACTAGAATCTAGTCTGTCTAACATCAAGAAAACGACACCGAGAACGATACATTTAAATGTTAACAACACCTATCTACCGTGACGAATCCGACGAAGACGACACAATTGGAGATCGTGAAACGAACAAAATATGTTATGAAAAAATGTTTAAGAAAACGGAAAGAAAGAAAGAGAGAGGTAGATATGAACAGATAAAGAAACAAGAAAGAAAAAAAAAACAAAAAGGGTACGGACGATTTATAAATGAATTTTTTGATTGAAAACGATGCACGTGAGATTAAACGTCCAAATACTGATGTCGTTACAGTTGTAACTGTTGTTTAACAACTAACGAGAAAAAGATATATCGTTTTGAACAATAATAATTAGATATCGTGACACAAAATATAATCTACTGGATTACAGATACGGACAAATTTGGCGACATCACACATCGAAGTAGGAGAAGATTTTGTGCGGAGAACACGTTAGAGAAAAATGTGGCGCACGGACGAGGAGAGCCTAATGGTCTGACCTGTCGACCAGATATCTGGGTGATCGCGAGAATCGTGCCGCCCTTATCGATGGTAGCAAACCTTGCCGAGCCAGAGACCCTATATGTCTCTTACTTGGTTGAAATGTCTCGAGATATCCAACGGGAATCGAGGTGTCCGTCGGCAACTCCAACCCAGCCGATTCCGCTCCTGAGAGTCAGAATCTTGTTTCTTTTGTTTCTTACAATTTCCCTTTTCCAAAAAGGTAATTTTAAATAAACTACAAAAGGGTAGACACGATATGTAGTTTTAAGATCCAACGTGTCGAATTAGCCGAACTATTTGTATTTATTATTTTTTGTCTGTTGGTTTGAAATTAATTAAACTCAATTTGAATATTTATCAATCGATATCTACTATGGGATACGTTGAATCTCTCAAAAACTTAACGCACTAATCTAACAATTTATGCATTAAATTAATCTATATAGAATGTACCTGCAATAATCATTAATAATTACGATATTAGGACATTGTGTTAAAAAATCGTTGAAATATATTCTCACCCATGAATCTTTTTTCCGTGTTTGGATACTGTCCGGTCAGGGCCTCGATCATTTCCTCGTAATCAAGAACATTCGAATTCTGCATGACGGGTAAAGGATATTCGTCGGAAAAATCAATTTGTCTTTTCGTTCTCCTATCGTCTGAGTCTCGCATCAAAAAATCCAATCTATCGTCAACCAAGGATCCAGAGTTTCCATCATCGTGTCTTTCGCGAGTTAATTGATAAAGATCTAGAGGTTTTTCCTTCAATGATCGTCCATGACGGTTCATTGTACGAACGATCATACCGTATGGGGGAATGGCATAAGCTCGTTTAACGTATTCAGGCCAGTCACCATTTTTGGCCAATGATGCAACATTTCTTTTATCTTCATCGTAAGAACCACGAAAAGCTGGTAATCCATCTGATCGAGCCAAAGAACCCAAATACCTTCTCTCGATCGGTGACATCTCTTCGGACAAATAATCTCTTTTACCTGACTGTGGTAACATATAGGTTCTAGCTAACGCAGCAACATTCCTTTTTCCTGCCATTGGAGGTAATGCTCGATCCCTTGCAAGGGCACCGATATTTCTCTTGCCGCTCGAAGCTAACGACGAACGATCACGTGCCAATGAAGCAATGTTTCTTCTACCAGCTGTGGGTGGTAAAGCAAAGTCTCGTGCCAACGAGCCTACGTTTCTCTTCTCAGAAGGATAATGACGTATCAAAGCTTCGACATCCAATTCACCATTGGGAAGTGTATACTGACGAATAATCTCGAGTATGTTTTTTCCGTAATCTTCTGTTATATGTTGCAATAACGTTGCCAATTTCTCATCGGTCAAAGTACCAAACCTATTTAATTCGAAATAAATTCGTTTTATAATTAATTTCATATACTCTACCACCTACTATATATATGTTATTTATTTATTAAATTAATGGAAAAAACAAAGGTGTATCTTTCTCACCTCGATGCGTAACTTCTTTTTTCTTCGTCATCATTATTATTGCTTTCTTCTTTACGTTCCTGAATAGAAACCGGAAGATCACCGTTCTTTGCCAAGGTCGCGAGACTTCTTTTTTCCGTATCGGCTAATGGTTCAACTTCTTCGATGTTTTCCTCAAACGAATGACCAAACGGATATTCCGGTAATTTGGATGATTTACCAATCGACATCAAATGAGCTCTCATTGCTGGATCTCTAAAGAGTTCCAAATAAAGACTACCAGGTATACAAATTTCCGAATCATCATTTTCCTCGGTACTGAGTGCCTTTAAGTGTGCCATGTCATTATGATTCTTTGCATCCTGAATAATCCGAGCAGTTCTCGAATATGCTGCTAAATTCGAGCTTGCTTCTGGAAGACGCAAAAGTGCGATGAAAACCTTTTTCGGTATGCATTGGTTGTTGTCTTCTTCATCTTGACATATTACCTGTAACGGAAAATTCATTTACATATGTTTGAGTGATATGTTAGGTAAAACCTCTACAACTAACACGTATGCTTATTTTAACAGTAAAAAAGAAAAGAAAAAAAAATATGTATAATGATTATTAGATTTACGATCTAGGATTACAAATGAGATTATCTTTGAGATATTAAACCGATAAAAATGATCTTATAACATCTCGTTGGTTAACTAAAGATTTTTATTCACTCGGTTTATATAATATAATACACACACATAATATATTCCTATATCATACAAAGCCCTTTCATATAACCGGAATCACGTGTACTGGAAGAGCGGAGACATTATAGCACTCCTTTCATACCGATCGCACAATACAAGATATCGATCCTGTCAAACTTCATATTACACTAGTTTCCTAGTATGATATATACATATATATATACACATCTATCGTAAAATGTAAAGAAAAATCGTAAAATACATTCCCAATTTCACGCGTGAGCGCTTTGCTGTATCACCTGTGAATTTCCAATAAAAACGTGAGAAAAATGTATTTCTAAAAAATTTCTATGGAATTTCATTCTGATGATATTAATAAAAAAAAAGAGGGGGCAAAAAAAGAAATATGAGAACCGGAATATTTATAGTATTACAAAGTTCCTCGAAACATGATACAGTATAATTAATTCATATGTATTTCCATTCAACAAAATGCTCTGGCAGACAGCTGCAACGTTATTAAATGATCGTCATAGTGTCAGACATAAATTTCATCGTTTCACCGTTTCGCATTCGTCATACATATTAATGCAATGTCTAAATCGTAAAGGTTATTTCGAAATCAAGTATACGTTTCTATGATTTAAAGTGTCTCTTTCCAGAGACGTTCAATTCCAATATAACTTTTCTTTTATTAACGAAAATCGATCGGGTTAGTTAACATAATCAATTTTCCTTTCATTCAAATGTATCTTCACGAAACATTCAATATAATCTTTTCGATTAAATTATAAATAAATAAATAAATAATAAATTTTCAATTAAATGGTATGATACGCTTATATTATTATGAAATTGTAATAATAATTTTAGAAATAATCCCAAGTGTTATTAATTTTACAAATGAATATGTTTAATATTACGTATGTTAAACTAAAGAATAAGAGAGGGAGAAAGAGGTGTAAGAAAGTGTAGCGTTTGATTACTATTTCGTTTCATTTAAACTAACTGTTAATTATACCTACAGCATTAAGATTAAATTAAATTCCTCAAGTTGTACTTTCGACTAACTCTAGAATTCAGTTTATTTTGGAATCTTAAGAGTTACTCGAAAATATGGAAAGTAATTAACTGGTATAAATAGTACCCAAACATTAGTTAAATATCTAAATCATTCTTCGTCACAAGAATCTTAGTAGTAAAATCAATAAAAGTAAAAAGAGAAAAAAGAAATCACAAATAAAAAACGGAACTTTCATGTTGTGAAATATTCGATGAAATGGAAAGAAGCAAGGAAGATTGACATAGAAATCGCAATAAATGTAACCAATAGTCGAATACTCTTCGAAGTTATTTTCTTCGTAAAGTGAATAACATTCTTCGAAAGGCAATGACAGAGTTTTATCGGATTTACCTGTACGATAAAAAGAAAAACTTTACAATTTGTTCTTAAAAGAATTATATAAAGCTTTTTAAAACATCCTTTCGATATACGTATGAACTTTCAATGTTCGATCTCATACGATTCGATCGTAATGAACAATTAAATTAATTATTTTCACGGTAAACTGATATTTTCAATTTTACGAATCTTACGAGAAGCAGTATGTTCCATCCCAATCATTCTTCATTCGTAGATCAATTTTCCGCTTCGAATTCGATTAAGAAACTTAAACGATTTAACTTTCCATCGTAAATTTTTAACTAACTGAGTCCGAAATAACAGTTATAATAATTCGTTCTCCTGCGTGTACTACACAGTCGTCCTTGGTTTTCATAAATCATTTGCAATTCGGGAAAAAATAAATGATGACAAAATAATAAACGGACCTAGAATGTTTTCGTAGAAAATAGGGGGTGGTCCCGAATATCGAACGGAGTATATATATATACATATACGTTTACACGAATTGGCTTAAGAAAAAATCGGATATCATCTGGTATCGGTGATAATACCTCGACCTCGTTCCTAAATGTAAAGCTTGAAATTTTGTCAAAAATATAGAAGTAATAAAAGATAAAGAATGAAAGAAAAGGACAAAAAGAAAAGATAGAAAGTAAATATCTATATCTCGGGATGTATCAGAGAGTACTAAATTGTTCCTCGAAGAGAAATTTTTCAAAGAGAAAAGAACGATATTGTTTCGTCATATTCTTTAATACGACTAAAGAGTACCATATACATATAAGTAAGGTAAGTATATATCATCTATAAAAAAAAAAAGAAATAGATGTCTTTTACGTGTAACTTGGCATTGAATATTTTTAATCGTTATCTTTTAGTCCGGACGATTTGTTCGAATCATTCGAAAGATAAATTTCACGAATAAAAGAAGTTATTAGTCTTACGAAAAAGAAGAAAAAAGAAAAGAAAAGAAGCATTAACGATATAGGTGTACGTATAAATTATTATTATTATTATATCTTTTAGCCACGTTTATTGAACAAAATCGAAACGCCCACTGAATGACAAGCTTTTCGCACGAGCGACCATCAATAATCCGATGAGGAAAAGAAGAATAAAAAAAGGCGAAAAAGAAAAAGAAATTTCGTTCAGGGAAAAAGAATATATATATATATATATATATATATATATATATATACATAGGGCCAAAGTCAGTTTATAATGGCATATCGTTGATACATCGATATCAGACCTTCAAGTCGATCCCTCGAACGACGTTTGAACGTCCTGGAAAGAGCCGACCCTGTACCATTGACATCGTTTACTCTTCGTTGAATCAACCAATACCAAAGTAAACCGCCCACGAAAATGTCCTTGTCCGAGAAATAAACAAAAAATATACGTATACACACACGCACACATAAACACAGTTTGATAAATAAATTAGGAAGGACGATGGAACTATATCATTCTCGGATAATTAGAAAATGAAGACACTCAGAGAGAAAGAGAGAGAGAGAGATCCTCTTAATATTGAACAGAATCCACGAATTAATAGTAAAGCCAAGTTTGTGAGATCTCTGCGTCATTAGTTCGAGCTTAACTCCTTGCAAAACGATGATACAGAGAAACAGAGAGAGAAAAAGAGAGAGAGAGAGAACATCTTTGCTGTGAATATTCCTAAATAACTTTCGACTAATTAGAAACAGCTATATATCTGTGGTTATGTGTTGCATAAATATCTATAGGATTAACAAGATCTACAGAACTTCAAATATCATTTTCATGCTTATTATCCTTTTCTTATCTTAGTTAATTGAATAACAAGATTGTCTCTCTCTCTCTCTCTTTTTCTCTCTCTCTTGATTTTCTCTATTAATTCATTTCGATTGATAATGTAAATGCACATGTACATAATGTAATCAAATAGAAATATAAAATATGAAAATTTTGTAAAAATTTACTAGAAAAAGCTATAAAAGCGAACATTATTTTTATAACGCGTTGTAAAAAGAAATAAAAAAGAGATGAGGGGTGTCGGGGGTAAGAGAAATAAAACAACAAGAAGAAAGAAGAAGAGGCACGTCAAAGTTTCATCAATGGAAACACCACTTATCATACTCGTCGCCGCTGTGAATGACAACAATAAATCACAGCAAGCGTACGAAACCATTCTATAGACAGGAACATATCAGATGACATCGTGCTTCGTTCGCGTGGATATGATTAATGCGTTTTGTTCGCACCTAAGGTTTTATGAATTGATTCGTGGTATTCAAATTGCATCGGGTATCGTAAACATTCACGATGAAGAAAGAAACGTCTATTGTGACCAAGTTAATTTTTAACTTTAATTATCTTTTTCATTTATGTATCTTCAAAAAAATAAAAGAAAATAAAACGCGTATGGAGTTGGTCACGAAATAACGTTTTATATATTATCGTCTCTAATATTTTACATTTTAATAAATAAAAAAAAAATATTATTTTTTATTATTGAAAAATCTAATCTAAACAAAAAATAAAAGAAAAATATTAATAAATACGTTATTACAAATAATAATAAAAATAAAATATTATTCGAAATATTACTATTGTTTATCTAAATGCTAAATACCACAAATACCGACATTAGTTATTAATCAACGCAATATACGTAATTTGAATTCACCGATTAAAACGTAGTTATGATAAATTACTTTTATTAATTATTCCTTATTGATAAATTATGGAAAGAATTATGTTATTTTCCTATTCAGTATAATATTCCCGTTCAATTAAACGTACCAACTAACCTACCTATTTCTTACTTGAAAAGCGAAACAGGATCTTCTTAAAAGATTCGTTATCCTCCCCTTTTGCCATTCGCTTCGGCTAAGATCTCGTTTAAACGTCGGACTTTATACCTCGAATGTTCGTTCCTTTACCAATCCGATTGGCGTGAAAGTCTTCAATCGTTTCAAAAAACGAATCGATCTTTTACAGAACTTGTAATTAACTTTCTTTGGCGGGTGGTTGGTAATGAATAAAAAGAAAGAAATAGAAAAGAAGAAAAAAAATTTTTTTTTGTTATAAAAATTTAACGAACAACACACACACATACAATTCTTTTCAGGTAAAAGTAAAATTGACAAGAATCAATTCTCACACGATTTTCCGGATTCTCTATATAATTATTATTTCTCTTCGTTAAGATTAAATCGAAAAAATCGTCCTAGTTTACTAAGAACTTCTTCGATATTGTAGAAGGAATCTAACTAAGATGAAACTTTGAGAAAAGGGGAAACAGACAATTGTCCTTTGCTGCTTATACCCTTTATTACATTTACCTAACATGTTCTCTATATTCATGTATTACATATAACAAACAGTATCCATTTACGAATATCCATATGTATACCTTCCTTTTTCGATTTAAATTTTTATTATATACTAGGATATTCCGGCCATGCGTTTTTGTGGTTTGGTTATAAAACGTTGATTTAATATAACTCTAAACTATTTTATGCAGTCAAATTAATATTCACTAATAATTTCTGAGACTTCAAATTAGGCATAAAACAACATCAAATTGTTAATATATCTAATATATAATATATAATTAATAACACACAAAATAATACCACAATTTGAATAAAATACATAAAATAATAATATAAAAAAAAATATAAAAAACAAGGTTAGTTATGTCATACGTAAATCTGAAAAAAATGTATGACGAGAATATGTAGAAATAATGAATTGTTTCCTATGAAAGTTCCTTTATTCAATGTTGTTTATATGACTTTTCAAAGATTGTTTTTATATAATAAAAATAATCTTCGCACACGCGTAATAAATACAATTTCTTTTTTTGAAAAGTTATACAAACAACATTAAATAAAAGTAATTTCATAAAGAAGAATGAATTAATTTACCGTTGGATTTCGAAGAGAAAAATACATATAATTAATATTCCTTGCTTTTACATAAAAATATATATTTATTTCGATTAATTAACAATTATTAATTAACATTAATAGAGTATTCTATTAATATTTCATATCATTTAAATTGAAGTATATTTGTTTTAACGTTCCTGTGCTCAGTGATTACTTCAAACGATAAAATTTTCTTCTAATAAAATATCTAATCGAAATTATTTAATATTCAAAGTATTTTAATAAGTACGTAATGTTTAATCCAACGTACATGTGTTTAAACAATCGGAAATATAAATAGAGTGTATTAGTGTATTAAAATAATTGTTAATTAATCGTAAAAAATATGTATTGTTATTTAATAGTACGATCTACAAAATTTATGTTCTCACCTCTTCAAAATCTCCCGTTAAACTGACACACATTGTCCTATATAAAAGTTCTTTTATTGAATATGTTGTTTATATGACTTCTCAAAGGTTGCATATGTATAACATACATAATACTCCAAATAAATACAATTTACTTTTATGGAAAGTTATATAAACAACATTGAGTAAAAGAACTTTCACAAAAGCCAACGTGCCAGTCAAACGTTGAATTTAAAAAAAGGAAGATACGTCGAAATTATAATTCGTGCTTTTATATAACAATATACATTTCTTTCGATTAATTAACATATATCAAACAAATGTGCGTATTCCTTTTATTTTTGTCAGTTACTAAATATTTATATTATGATTATTATTTTTCCACTTAACGTTTCATTCAATTTAAACCGTATTTAAATCTTCGATACTTTGATATAAATTTCTTTTTGTTATTTTTGTTCTCTTTTTTCTTTTTCTTTTTTAAGAATTAATATGATAGGCACGTCAAAGAAAAAGAAGGAAACAAGAAACCCCTGGACGGTATGCAATAAAACGAAGTTAACTGAACCCGATAATCGATCGAAAACTAAAACCATGCGAAATTTTACATTTAAAAGATAACGTATCTATATATAGACGAATAATATAATTAATGAACAATTCGAAAATTCTCTAATTAATATTATCCACTACGAAACGTTTCATTTTATTTTACGAAGTATTTATGAAATACTTTATAACAAATTATATCGATGGAAAAAATATAATGAGAAATAAAAGATACGGGGTGAAAAGTTGTTTCAAATTTTTTCTCGTTACATAAACTCTTACGATCTGTTAAATTAATATAATACTAATCAAAGTTCGAATCGAAATCAGGATTCTTTCATTTTTTTTTTTTTTTTTATTAAAAAAAGTAAGATAGAGAGTTAATTGCTGTTCTATTCATTGGCTTATAGCTTACACAGATCACGTTGGTGGACGACGTTTTTACGAGAATTAATTCAAGAGAATTTAAGCGCGAAATCTTACGAAACTACAAGCTCGCGTAAATGATCATAAAATTAATATGTCGAACGTTGTAAAACGCACGTGACCTGAAAGAGCAAAATAAATTCTATTTTATATATTTTATATATTATTATTACTATTGTATTATTATAGAAACGGATAATTTAATATTTAATATTTAAAATAAAATAATAATTCAATAATTACAAAGTTTTTATCTTGTTATATTTTTATCGTTAAAATAACGAAACAAAAATGTAGTCCTTAAAAAATATGATATATTCTTTACAATTTTTATTCATATTTTTATATTTATTCGAACTTCCGATTATACCTTATACGATCTTACCTTGAATAACAAGATTTATCCATTTATCACGAATAAAAAGATACAAGGGTTTTGCGATCATGGAAATATATTTCTTGAAAAGAATAAATAAGTATATAAGTACTAAGGTCCTTAGTAGTCAAGAAAAGAGGGGATGGAAAAGTTTGCGAGAAGACTTACTAGGAAAAGAAGTTCTTCCCTTGAAGAAACTGTCAGAAAATAAAAAGACAGTAAAAAAGAGAGAGAGAGAGAGAGAGAGAGATAAACCGCTAATAGTATTTGTACAAATTGACGTCGTTAAATTAAAAAACTTTCTAAGGAAAAAAATAAGAATAAAGAGATAAAATACACGAAGAAGATCACTTATTTTTTTAAAATCTTAACAACCATTAATTAATATTTTTATTGGTAATATTAAAATGATTGAAAATCTTGTGTCAATTTATAATATATATATATACATATATTTGAATAATATATTCTTAATATACATTTTTCTTTAAATCGGTTAAAACTTTTCGGCCAATTCAATACTTAATACTATTAAATTATATAAAAAGAAAAATTCATCTAATTATATTATATTTATAAATTGACACGAATTATTCGGATAACACAATTACCTTGAAAATTATATTTTCTTTTGTATTTATTTATTTAATTATCAAAGAAAAAATATTACGTATGTCAGAAAAGTATACACTGTAGTAATACGCACAAAGAATCTAGGTCAATGAGCTTAATGGTTTGATCGTGAGGATCCTTTAACAAGTATTGTACAATTTTCGTTTAAACTAGAGCTTTCGCAAACAACTCTTGACGCGTGAAAGACGTTATCAAAGATCACTTTTGTAGTACGCCACTGATAACTACTATATCTAGAAATAAATATAAATAAATAATGAAACGTGTTATCAAGAAAATGAGCAACCAAATAAATCGAATTTCTCCAATAATAACATTAGCATTTTCATAAAAAAATAATAATAATCACGATCCTTTCAATGCGATCCTATCGATCTTCTACGTCACGATCCAAAAATCATGACAATTTGTGACTTTCAATCGAGGAAAATTATCGAATAAATAACGAATCATCTAACATTCTAGAGGTATCGTCGTTATTCATTCGAATCAATTTATCATCGAACATTTCTCGAATAATAAACTCCTACGCGTTTCGTTAATTCCACTGATTGTCAATTAAACGATCCAAATTGTGTGTACGATTGATTAAAATTTAAAATAATAAAGAAGTAAATAAGAAAAATAACAAAACTTTATTATCAAATCAAATACGAATACTTTTTAAATGTTTATCAACTTTTATGATCTTAATAAATTAAAATATAAAAATAAAGAAGAAATAATAGGTTGAACTGAAAGAATGGCAAAAAGACAAATAGAAATTAATTAAACGAAAAAAAAGGATAAATAAATGAATAAATAATACACACATGTATGTAAAAAAAATTAAAAAAAAATACTTGTTCACAGTGACGTTATGGGGGAAAATAACTCACCGTGGGAAGATAAATCGCGTTGATTATGGCGATGTAAAGCAGTAGCTTTACGAGGTAGCTTTTAGTGAAGCCCATTTTCCATGAAGATACCACGCGTCCTTTCTAGACGGATTTCCAAAAGTGAGTAGTACCGCTTCGTACAGCGTTGGCTCCTTATATAAGGTGGAAATCACCCCGCGCAGGCGTTTCGACCCCCCATAGGAACACCTACATACCCGATGGTGGTTGAATATTTACGCACACCTGCATCAAATGGTGTAACCGGCACGCAATACGCGTATATTTCATGCTCTTCTAACCTTCTTGTTTTTCGATCCAACCCTAGGGAGAGAAATAGATACAGAAAGAAAATAAAAAAGAGAGAGAGAAAGAGAGAGAAACGAAAGAGGTGAAAAAAAAGAAAAAAAAAAGAAAAAAAAAGAAAAGAAAAAGAAATGAAGGCAGTTTTAAAATCACTACCGAAACTAATATGCGAGGATTATTGCGTGTTAAGAGGAAAAAAAAAGAAAAAGAAGAGAAGTTCAAAAAAAACGTACCAAAATCGTATCTTCCAGCTTCATTTTTACAATCGTATTTCATTGAATGCACCCGCGCTATATTTATCTAGTATCTATCTGAATCTATTTTTTTTCTAATTCGGGACTTGATCTCTTGTTAATTGCAAAGTCTGGAAGAATCGTACAAATTATTAGCAGTTTTCAATTAAAATTAAAATAATATACTCAATATATATATAATAAAGTATAGTATATAGTTGTTTGTGTATGTATGTATGTATATGTGTGTGGATGTATATAGTTAAACCATTTACTCTAAAAACGTAATATTTTTATAGTATAAATTGTACTTATAGTATTTGTATGTTTTATCTATGATTTATATGCTCTAAAAAGGGACACGTATCGTAACAATAATCAACTGATTTGTAAATGTTAGTGAAAACATCGTATCTAGTGTAAGATAACTGTTTTAAATGCGACACGTGCGCGCGAGTGCGTACGCTTTCACGAGACGGCCGGAAATTTGATTTCAAGCGTTGTTTACGTATAAAAGGTATTGGGATTCGAGTCCATTCAAAACCTACTTATTTATAAACATATATATGTATATATGTATATATGTTTATATGTATATTATATATCCGCGAACGAACGTACGTTTTACCAAAACAAACTAATCCTTTAATAAATAAAACTTAAAAAGTTTCTTTTCGTTTTTTCATTATTATTTTGTTCATTTTCATTTACTTTATTATTTGTAATATTTTAAATATATACTCATTTACATATTTAGGTGGTGACGTATATTTCATCTTGTAAATTCTATTTTTAACATTAGAGAATATAAATAAAAGTCAAATAAGGATACGCAAATAGGAATAAGCATCCTGTGAGTTTTCAATGACGTAGTTTTGCGTACCTTGGGAAAAGGAAACGTGAACCCTGATATCTTATGTTTCAATAAAGTCGAATACGATTGGCATCGTATTTTGAAACCATGTCTTTTGGGATTACTCTGTACTCTGGGAAAACCACGTGTATACTAAATAAATCATTCTTGACTAATATAAGAGGATCAGATTACTATGGTTGTTTGATAGTCTTAGGCTAATGAATTAAAATCTGCAATATCATTATGTTAAATTTTTATTATTTAGAATTAAACAAATTTTATACTACAAAATATGTCAAGAATTTGTATTAAAAAAAAAAAATTAGAGATTTAAATGTCACTAAGAACAATAGTTATGAGGTAAAAGTTCAACGAACAAGTAGTAAGCACATGGGTGGCAATAATCGGACTGTCAGTGGGTAAATCAGTAGTACGAGTCAATAATAGCAACTATAGTTGGACAAAAGGAGAAAGTGTCGATTGTTTGCAGGCAGCAGACATACACTGCTAAGTATTATATGCGACGATAATTATGACGGAAGACTAAATAAAAAATTGTTAAACATTTTATTTTATAATGATTTATTTTATAATATAAGTTATTATCAATTTTATCATTTAATCCACTGTCATAATTACCAGTACACACATATACTTGGAAAAAATGACAAAAAATGTAGTTCCCTCGTTTTTTGTTTTTTAATTAATTAAAAAAGCATAAATTGTAAGGGTTGCATCAGAATTACGTCAAAATATCGAACTCATTGTAGAATTATATGCATGTGTTAATTATTTGACAATAAAAATTATAAAATACAGAAAAACATTGAAATGGAATATTTTGTACGAAGAATGGTAGTCATTAAATATATTGACTGTTGATAATTATAACCAATATACATGAACGTATTTACAATAATAAATGCTTAATTCTAATATGATGACGTAAAAAGATCACTAAATTCTCTAAAATTTATCATCAAAGTTCTCGTGAAACTGTAATTTTCTGTGATGTAGTCTTTCCAAATTTAATTCATCGATGAAAAATTATTATTCTAAATCCACTTTTTTATCTCCTTATTTGAGAAATTGTTTTTCAAGTATCATCATTTTATCCTAATTTACCTTAGCAAGAATTAACAAGTAGAAAAAGAATGGCTACTCTTCTTATTTCGCTTGACAATTTACGATTTCTATTTAATTAATTTTCGAATAAATTAAACATTCAACAGTTTCTTCAGTTTATGTAGAAGCTTATAAGTATATACAATATTAGAATATCATTAACACATCCAGCGTACAATAAAAGCCATTTACTTTCGTTTTAATTATAAAGTCAACTAATATATTGTTTATATGACAATAGGATATATTACATATCCAAATATCACAACGAATAAGGAAAATAAAATGAGTAATGTTTAATGATTTGTTCGTTTATCCTATAATATGCTTATATTAAATTCGTGTAAAGTAAATGTGAAATATAAATGTAAGATGAATGATTACATCAATGATACTCATTAATAATAACTCTACGATGATTATATAAATATTTTTATAGAAATAATCTTTTATTTTTATTTTTCAGTAGTATCAAGAGATAATGTATTTTTCATCGATTCGTGATATGCGTCCAATAATTCTACAGGTTTCAATTTTGAACTAATAGCTTTATAAATTTTTAGCAATTCCTCTCTTTCACTTGTTTGTTCTATACGTGAAAGTACTAATTCATTAGACCACAAATTATTAAACACTTCTTGTACAAGATTTGAATTCTGTGATTTGAGCGTTTCTGTTATATCGGTCATACTACTATTTTGCAAAGCAATATCTAAAACGAGTCGTGGTGGTATAAGTTCATCATTTGCAACAGTATGACTAATTATTACATCCATGGGAAGTCTCTTCAAAATATCGCTAAAACACGACAGATCTCTTATAGGATCTTTAATACCACTTTCTTCTTCCTTTTTCAATGACACTGATAACATTGCGGCCAGTTCTTCAGATGTATATTGTTCACCTACATGATTTTTTATTTCCTTTAAATTAAAAACGTTCATACAATCTTCAATCGTTATTTTCTTTCTATAAGCATTGAGAACTTTATGGAAAAATTTTTTATCGCCACTAAAAATATCGGGAAGTCTTAAGAGAACTTTATTAACGCCGCAACCGCGGCATACAGCTTTTAATTTAGCTTCGCAGTAACTTTCGGTATTGTTAAGTCCGAGTATTCTTAGGGTTTCCTTCTCGAATTCTGCTTCTGGCAAAGATCTCGATTTCAGCTGTAATAAATTAATATTTTTTGTTTATTCATTACGTTATATGTTTATATAAAAACAAAAGCAAGGTAATTAAAAAAATATCATGTGTGCAGATCACACACGTTAGAAGTGAAACCTTCAAAAAACCAAGTTTCGAGAGAATGAGACGAATGCACAGTATCAAAAGTAGGCAAATTTAGGGTTTATTTATTATAATATTGTTACCACATATAACAAAGAATAAATAAAGGATATAAAAGGTATAGAATAGAGAATAGGAAAAACTGTATAGATATATTCTATCTCATTCTCTCGCAGGCTTAATCCTATATGTTTGCCTCTTTTTCTCTTCTTACTTAGTATCGTGGCCGTTTCATCGCCGCGCTACATCACGCCACGTTTCATTTTTTCAAATCACCCCTATTCTAAAGAAGTTTTCACTTCAAAAACTTATAATTTTTCTTACCTTATAATGTCCAAGTATTGTTTCAGGAGAAGATCGTTTGACGGCACTTTGCATTACTAAATTAACATCAATTTCGTCCAAAAGATCTTCTAATGCCATTTGAGCTTCAACAGATTTTGTTGCTACACTTGAAGGTTTCGGACATAAATCAGAATCGGTGCAAACACCAATAGATCTAGTCGTATGATTTGGATCGTCCATTGATATGTCAATAATTGTTGATTTCTGCGATGAAACGTTAATATCGCTTGGTTCTGTAATAGATGGATTTACTTTTGTATTTGTAATAGATTCTGTTTGCTTCAATACTTCACATTCTTTATTTTGCAAATAACGAGTTGTTGATTCAATGTCATTACTAATAGGCGAAAGATCATAATTCAGTTCTAAACCTTTTACGGAGTTTTCTTTCGATAAACTTTTGTTAATATAATGATCCAAAACTTGTTTAACAAATTTAATTTTATTTATATGATTCTTTATAGGCATTCTATTTATTTCACGCGCGGTCAACTGTGCAAAATCGCCAATAGTGATTATATTTCTACTTGTTAAATAAGTATTCAATTGTTTTGTCCACGATCGATAAGTCAAGTATGATGTTAAAGAATTTATAGGATCCTGACATGACACCAATTCTCCATAAAATGCCTTTGTATCATCTAATAATTCTGGATCAGAATATGTTACGCTAGATTCACTTGCTTGACTTGGAGATAAGCTTCCAAAAATTGAATCAGTTACGGTTAAAGTATCATGATCTGTAATATTTTCTAATTTTTGTGTACTAGTTGTTTGTAAAGATTTAGTGCAACATATTTCATCCAAATTTGTTGTAGTATTAAAACTAGTAATATTTCCCACATCTACTGTATCTTCCAAAATGTCTTCATTAGTTATAATGCTTAATTGAGAAAAATTTACTGAATCATTTATATTATTCACATCTTTATCCTTATTTTCTGACTGTTTTATATTGTTTTTGACATCTATACTGCCAAACATATCTTGTTGAGTTTCAGATTCTTGGGATTGGAATACTTTACCATTTTCAACCGATGATGAAAGCGACGATGAAAGCAACGATGTCTCTTTAGGACTAGATTTATTGCCTAACATTTCTAATTCTTCGGACAAATTATTAAGTGAAACTGTAGTGTATAATTTTGTATCTGAATTCTCGTTCATATCCTCGGAAATACTACAGGTAGTATGATCATCTATGACCATACTTTCAGTAGATTCCATTTCCTCCGCCATTTTTGTTGATAATACGTTTTCCCTTTCACATTGTAAGTCAACTTCACATCCGTTATCTTGTTGCATTTCAATGTCCTTATCCTCTTTATCTGAATCTGTTGGAAGGAATTTAAGTTTTGTTTGTTTCGCTCGTAACGGCGAATTCTTACGAATCAATACAATGCGAGAAGATAATTTATTTGGTTTATCGGGATTTTCAGTTATTACTATCTCATAACCCATCTGTTTGGAAACTAGAGGATCCGCAAAACTTACTCGTTTCCTCTATAAAAAAGAAAAAAAACAAACAAACAAATTACTTATTAACTTAAACTACAGAAATATATACATAAATATATAAAACAAACAAAAAGTACCTTGCTTGGTGTTGTATTTTCTAAATCACTTTCTGTTAAATTAAAACATTTACGTTTCAGAATACTTGCGCTAGGTGATGCAGTTAATGATGGAGGATTTGCATTGGACCATTCCAACATAGGTAACTCTGACTTCTTTTGAGAAGGCGATAAACTTCCGTCATTTCCTTCTTCATTTACATTATCCAAACTAATTAGCATGTAATCAGGTATTGATTTATCCACATTAGGAGAAATTTTTTCTCCGTTATTTTTTAAAGTACTAAACAATGGTACCGGCGAAGATGATGGAAAAGGATATTCCCCAGATTTCATGTTATTAAATATTTTTTCTTGACGACTGCTACATGGACCAACAATTTTATCATTATCTTTAAATGTCGCTGTTTTATCTTTCTTTCCTATCTGCGCCTCGTTTTCTCCATCTTTATTGAGTTTAATCTTCTTTACCATCATTATATCCTCGTCCGTTTTTACAGATTGACTATTACTTTCCGTTATTATTTGTTTTGTAACTAAACCCAACATATGAGCAGCGCGACCACCTTTATTTGGATAAGTTTTTAACTTTAAAAGTCGATTAATATTAGTTGTAGGTGATGATACAACTACCGTAGACAATTTATTTGTAGGTGAATTATTTACTTGCGATGCTTCTAAAACTGTTTTCTTTTCATCTTCATGTTGAATGCAACTAATTTCATGATCCGAAGAAGCATTTACAACAATTTCAGTAGTATTATCTTCTATGTTTGATGTCCCGTCAATTTTAGTATTATCTTCTGAAATTTTTCTAGGCACATGGGGCATTTCTTTTGTACTTTTCTTTACTGGGGTAGATTCTGTCAAAACACTATCTTTATTAGAAGATTTCATTCCCGAAGCACTTATGATGTTATCAATTTTATTAATTTTAATGAAACATTTTTTATCATTGTATTTTCCTTCTAATTTTGATTTTGTGTTTTCTTCTTGTGAATTTTGTATGATATCCTCTATTCCATCTTCTGGACATGATAGTGCTTCATCTTTAATTATACAGTCTTTAGTCTTTTCATTTTCATTTCTATTCATGCTGCTTTCTTTCATTTCTTTTTTCTTAATTTTGTCAACATTCGGCGAAATATCTTTATCTGTGGTTTCATTTTGAATATCAACATTGACACTACCTGTTACTTCAGACAATACGTTTGTACTTTCATCAGATCTAGAACCTTCGGTGATATCTAATTTATTAGTTTCCTTTTCTGAAGAATTCTTCGTTGAATCAATCATATTTAATTCTTCACTTTTATTTCCCTCAAATTTAAGACTTTTCTTACTTTTCTTTTTAAATGTAGATTGACCGCATACACTTGACTTAGTTTCATCGCTATTCTTTGAGTCTGGACTTTTCCGTACAGTTTTAGTTTCGCCATCAAATTCTAGTACCTTTTCTGTTTTAGATCTTCGTCGATTTGTTAATGCACTGTAAAATACCATATTTATTTTTAGCCTCGACATCTCGTTTTTTGTACGTTGGCTCAATTGTTCTTCTTTTGATTCATCCAAATTTTCACTTTCTAAGGATTTTACACTGTCAGTATCACTAGGAATTTCAGAAACATATTTTTTTCTTCTTCGTTGGCAAATTAGTTCATCAGAATCACTATCTGAAGCATATTTACGTTTTATACCTCTTTTTTGTTTGGTTATAATTGATTTCGTTCTCAATCTTCTTATTATTTTAGATTCGCTTTTTTCAGCCTGAATACCTGTGGTTTTATCAAAATTGAGTTCATTGATATCTGCCTTCGTTGTACTATTACGGTTACGTCGTTTACCATTTTCTAATATCGATGGAGACAATCTCTGTTCAGATTCTTTGTTATCTGGAAATTCTTCTCGAGATTCGAAATCCAATCGTTTTGCAACAGAACCTTCGTCGTGAGTATATATTTCTTGGCTATCATTACTGCACGATATTTCCAATTTGTCAAGTCCAGAGGTCTCGGATGTCGTATTAGCCTGTTCTTTAAATAAATCATCAGATGTACTATTTTCATTTACTAGACTTGTAGATTGTACTGGTGAAACACTCTGTTGTACTGTTTTCAGATCAGTACTACTAATAGCGTCTGTTTTATCAGCGACTTTATATTCCGTTACTGTGGAGTCAATGGTGTTTTCTTTGTTAGCATCATGATCAATATTTTCTTCTGTCACAGTATCATCTTTTCTAGTGTTCTGTACATGATCAACCTCATTAATATGTTTAACTCTTTTATCAAACCATTCTTGTAAATTCTGACTACTTTGTGAAGTTGATTGTGAAAGATCATTATACAATGCAGGGATATCCACTCTTTTCTTTTTTAACATTTCTTTTTGATGCTCGGTCAAACGATTAACATCGTATTTTACGTCTGTTTTAATATAAACGTATTCCTAAGAGAACAAGTATAGAACATAAACAATTTGTTTTTCGATATTTATATACAAGGTATCGTGTAACTGGTAATACAAGTGAACAATTAGTGATTCTACATAAAAAAAACTAAATAAATAATGTATAAGAAAATTTGTTTATATGTACTTGACAAATTTGAAAATTTATCAAATACGTATGCACTTGACTGAATTTATAAGCCTAAAAACTAAAAGCCTTGTTCGATAAGCATAAGAGTAGAACCGATACTAGAAATATCATACTAAAAATGTTTTATAAACATATTAAGAAGCACAAAAATAAAGTAATTAAATTTGTTGAACTGAAACTGAATCGAATGCATGCGTACTTGATAAATTAACACCCTGTATATGTATATATACATGTTAATATATATGTACATATATATATATGTATATAAAAAAAATATCTACCTGTGTTTCTGGATTAGGCAACGATACTCTTTTTTCGTCTTTTTCTTTCTGTACACTGGTAAATGCCACCTTAGAACTTGGAGATTTTCTATTTAAAAAGCTGCCTGCCATCTTAAATTGTTTCACAGATTTCTCTTTATCTTCTAATTTATTTTTCTCATCATTTAACTTAAATAGCAGTTGATCTGGTTTTATTCTATTATGTATCTCTTGAATTATGCTTTTTCCTTTGTCATCGAAATTATTTTCGTCTTGCAAAAATGATAATGTATGCGTTGCTATTTCCATATTAGAGTGATTTACAGATTTGATTATAACTTCTTTAAATAACAACAAAAATTCTGATCTATAGCTTCTATCGAGACCTTTAATAATGATAAGTATTGTCTCCCATAAACCTCCACTCTACAAATAAATAAATCTTATTATTATCGATAAACATTGAAATAAAGTATCGAATAAAATTCACTTATTTAATTATTATACTTCTTTCAATGATATTCCCGCTGAAGATATAAACACAATTTCAATTACTGATCTCAAATATTGCAAACATAATATTGCCTTTTTTTTATCATAACCATATACAGTAATAAGCACTGCAGATAATGCTTTCAAGACAATATCACAATTAGTAAATTGTGAATTATTGAGATGAGTTTTAATGAGATCTATTAAATATTCCATGATACATGTTATTTCATTTCGAGCTAAAAATAAATTTAATAGATATAAATATCACGGGATAAATAGATCTTTTTAAAATTATTATAGAGATCCATATTACCATACCTAGTAAATCATTGTAATTTATATTACTTAATAATATGTCCAAACAGTAAGATATAAAAATGCTACAGTCCTTATCCTTATTTAAACAACTCTGCATCATTTTTATGGTATTTAATAGTATTTCATTAGATTTTACTGTGACAATTAAATCTCCTTGTAAATCGAATTGCTTGTATAATTTTTTCCAAATCTCACTAATTTCTAGAATCTATTAATAAATCGTGTTAAATGTATTTATTAATTTACTAAGTTTATAATATTATTTAATGTATGTGTAATTATATATAAATATAAAAACCTCTTTTAAATCCTTTGATAATATTTGCTTAAATGGAAATTTTAAAACATATTCTGTAGTCTTAAAATTATGCTGGGCGGCATTGCCTTCATTGATTTTGCCTGTATCTTCCATATACTTTATTAATATTTCTGCTATGATGCACCATATTTCAGGTATAATAGTTCTGAACAAATAAATGATATAAATATAATGTTTATTCGTTTTCTAATCAAAATTTAATTAACTCACGTGGATTTATCTTCTACATTAATCTCTATTAATTTTTCTAAAACTTGTCTCAAGAAATCCAATATATTGGAGCTATACTCATTTCCTATTTTTGACTTAGCACACTCCCATAATAAACAATTAAGTCCTTTGCGATGATTCCTTTAAATTAAATGCCATAATAAAGTCAATCTATCTTAAAATAATATGTATATTATTTTAAAATAACCAATGTATATAAACAATACTAACTTCTTAATTTTTGGCAAAATTGGTGTAGATAAAAGTTTAAACAATAAGTCCAATATCATTTCTCTGTGGATTTGAATATCCTTATTAAAATTAGGTAAATCAATAACGATAACATCAAGAATTAAATCCAGGATCATTGGCTTATCAGCAATATGATTTACCAATTCATTTATTATTAATAAAATGTCTTTATAAACGAGATCCTGAAAATTATATTTAACTGTAGATATGTGTGCAGGAAAAAAAATATATAATTGATATATTTGCTTCTTACCTTTATTTCTGTCTTCGATTCTTGAGCATAATTAACTAAATTCGACCATAAAAGTTTTCCTACTTGGTATCGATTTTTCATTTCTTTATCATTAATTTGGCTTAAAATAAGTATGGCTTCTCCAACACTGTGTATGATACTCTTAAAACATTGTTGAAAAATTGTACCACATATACAATTTGGAAGCATTTCTTCTAAAATTGGTGTATAAAGCATATGATTTTCTTGTTTCGCGACAAGAAGCTGAGATAAAGCATCTAAGGCAACTAATTTTGTTTTAAAAAATCTCTTGCCAGGCGAGGCAACATCGCATTTAGATGAAAGTAATGGTGTATCTCCAAGTGGACCAAAGCAAAAGTTCAAAAATTGCTTTAACACGGGTTCAACGAATTTGCCAATATTTTTATGAAGTTTAATAATCAAATGCCACCAAACATCCAGTTTAGTGAGAGCTATTAATTCAGTCTTACTATTTTTTGCATTTAATGGTATACACAACAATTTTATTCTTCTTGAAGTTCCAAGCTCTTGAGGATCTAAAGCAAAATTGTCAATCAACAATTTCCATGAAAGGAAAGCTTGCCTAAAAAAACAATAAATATATTATTTAAAAAAGACATTATTTATCGATAACATCAACAATCTATATATATCAAACCTCCGTATAACAGCATCAGAAGATTTGAAGGCTTTTTCCTCAACACTGAGTAAGTTATTTATCAAGCTTGCACCACGGTGAAGATCGGTACCAAGCAATTGAACACTGACATTTCATTGAAGAGCCCAGTCAATTTCAGATACCGATACTAAAAGCTGCATTCGTTTGCAATATATAGATTGCAAATCTGTCTTAAATTGTGAYCAAACATCTGGTAAATCATTACGAACATGTGTGGCCAGATTAGTTGTGATTGCTTGCTGTAATAGTTTTAAAGCAGGAGTACGCTGTCGCTTATGACCCATATAAGCTAATAATATAACTTTCTCCATTAGTATTTGATCGAACTGTATCAATAATAAATATAAATTAATATAGAATATTTAAATGAAATATATTTCAATAAAAATAGAATATTTGATCGATATACCCTCTGTATTTTAGTATTATCAGCCATCTCAGCAGCTACTTTGTATAGTCTTCTCAACAAATTAAGACTATAATTAATCATCTCTTCTTCGATCTTCTGATTATTGGATAATACTTTGTTTTCTACTTCGGTTAATTTATGTAAATTTTCTGTACATGCTGTTGGTAAAAGCCAATTCATTGTGGCAGGCTGTACAGTTTGCAGACAATCGTTTAATAAATTAACAATTGACTTATCATTAGCAGCTATCAATATAGCTATATCATCCACCACATCTAGTAATTTAAGAATTTTTAATCTAAAATCATAAAACGTATAAGAATAACATATTAAGTTAATGAATATGAAATAGAAAAAGTAGATCCCATTGATTTAATAAAAAAAGAAATAATCAAACCTGTCCTTCCTATTTATATGTTGCAACGATTCAAATAAATTTAATTTGTGATTCCTCAAATTTTGCACGATACAAGTAAGCGTATCATATGCCTCATGTTGTATATTTTGATCTTTGCTTGTAGAAGCATCTACGACTAATTTGCAGAGATCCTTATATTGTTCTTCTTTAATATTATTTGAAGATTCTAACTTTTTGAGATTGCTAAAAATGAAAATTAAGTAAAAATAAAATAAAAAAAGTGTACTCCTTAATTATTCAAATGTGTACCCAAAATGATTCAAATAAATATATAAATCTTAAATAATTATAATAAAATTAATAAAATAAAAGTAGAAAAATTTGACATATATTACCTGCGAATATAGGTTAAAGCATCTTTCTTTTCCTTGTTGCTACTAGACTCTCGTAGCATTTTAAGAATCTTCGGAAAAGATTGCGTTACCGTAGCCATATCTTTTCACTTGTTTACAAAGGCGTTATCGAAATTGAATCATCGCTTAAAGCCCTCGTAGCGTGTTTTGAAGCCCTAAAAGAAAAGAAAATTGTATGTAGTACAACTTGTTCAGCAAGAAAATTTTGCTCATACTAGTAATGCGATAATAATTTCTAGGGTTCTAGATAGTTGCAATAAATTTAATCGACAATTTATTCACGGTCGTGTATACGACATATACACAAATCTATATTTAACAAAACACTTTATTACGCACAATATCTTGATATTCTAAAAAGAATACATTGATACTCCAATAAGCTGGGCGAAACAAGAGCATTAAACATTTGTTGTTTTGGAAGCAACGCCAATACCTCTAATACCAACGTTCGATYACACTGGAATTGCACTCGACTAAAATATCTCCTGCAATTCTCATCACAATCCCCCATTTCTACATATTCATCGCAAAACAAAGCAYCACAGATCCAAATAAACGAATTTTTTTCTTTTAATCCGATAATTTTTAAMACCTAATCTATCTATTTCGAATTAATTAATTTAAAAAATGTGTACCTTTCTTCCCTATATCTAATTACAAACTCGACGATTAGGTTATTTGTGATAATTTCTTAATAATTACAGACTTTTTGTAACATGCACAATGAATTTTCATAAAACCTTATAAATAAATACGTACAATTAATATTGAAGACAATAATTTCACACGACACTGAGTAAATAACAATATTTGTTAAGATGTTATCTATGTATGTAATTACAACCACGTATACATTAAAAATTTTATACACGATTAGCATGAAATGCATTGGCGCCAAATTTTTTTCGAGTTTGTTRCGACGCTTCTGAGATAGGTGGCGTTAAATACCATCACAAGCAATACTCTTTTTGATTGGTGGAATCTTAGAAAAAAAGAACACTATCATTTGAAAATAAGTTTAGCATTGACCAATCCGAAAAGGTGTTATATTGAACAATTGAAAAGCGATGTTATATTTGAAAACAATTTCAGTTATACCTTCAGTAAACTGTTGGRAGATATCAAGTCATCGTAAAGGAAGTTATTATTTTATTACCATTGATATTGTTTGAAAATTTACAAATTTTATTTATTGACATTAAATATGGCTAATCATCAAAGTCAATATAAGATAAATAATAATTTTGGAAAC